CTCCCCTTCTTCCATTTCGAAATGAGGAGGTTGGGGCGGACGATCTGTCTGAACTAGCTTGCTCTGCAATTTCAGCCGCTTTATTGCTGGCTCGTGCCAGCAAGAAATGCGGCTGCAATCGCATACGCATAAATGCAAACGAAGAAATACGATAATTAAACAATTCAGGCAAATGAAACCTGACAGAAGGCAGGTGTTCCTTGAAACGCGGAACAGTTCACACGGAATCGCGCAAAGGCCACGCAGCCAGTCACGCAATCCATCTCTTCCGCTAGCGAGTGGGCGAAGAAATGGATTGGGCGAATAAATGGCGTCTTCACATATCTGAGTACCTCCTAACGGCTTTCCAAGTGAGTTTTAAGTTCAGCTATACTTCTTATGTTCTTGACCAGGGCTCGAATCTTTTCACCCCACCAAAAGTAAAAGTATGGATGCTGGGGCTGTTGGTCAAGCGCAAGAGCAAGCAGCGCAGAGCTAGAAAAGCCCGAGCATTCAACTAATTTTTTGATCCCTTCACCTTTTGAAGCTCGAGTAAACCGTCAACTTTATATTCTCATACTGATACATCAATGAGAGAAATGGAACCTGCTGGAACAGCATTATGGAACTTTTTATTTTTATAAATCTATTTCAGAGATCGTCTAACCACATTTACCACAGTCATTATGTATAGGAGGGTTAGCATGGCGGAGATCAGCAATTGAGATCAAATAATAAATAACAAATTATCGCCAATAGCGCCACATTTGTAGCTCGTTGACGAGTTGCAGATATTGTACAATGTCATGAGTGATTCGAACTTCACTTGTGTCTTCAAGCCGCGGAAAGAATTAATTGGTGATTATTAAAAAGAATGTGAAAGCGACAGAATACAAATGGAATGGGCAACAGTATGCACATAAACATAAGATGAGGAAAAGCGCCGCGTCAGCGTTTGGTGCAACATTTCGCCTCTGTAGAGAAAACAGCGACACTACGATGAGATCATTGGTGAACCGGGTTGGCGCAAGCGTATTTGAAACTTATTTGCTTACATTTTCATTGAGAACAGAAAGCTTCGCTTCTTGTTAAAAGCAAGATTTCAGGTTCTCAATGGAATATCACCATTTTACAGATAGTCAAAAAATCGATACAAAGATATTGCTGCGCAAGTGACCTACGCTACAGCTGTAGCACTTCATCCTTCGAAAACATTTGTCAAGGATGCGCTTGGATTTTTATGGAATTAAAACAGTTGTGTATGAGACGACACTGACTATGAACGCGTTATCTGAGGTGGGTGAGCGCATGCAGCGATAAAGGGGAAGCAGGTGGTAACAAGGCTGGTGGATAGCGCCAGGGGCTCATCGCTAGCCGAACGACTCGCCTGGCCGCTACTGTTTGTTGAATCCAAGATCGGGAGCGCCGGCTGCGCTGCGAAAACTACACACGACGCTGCGCGAGTTTGGTGGCTGTGGTGGACGAATCGGCTCCATCGGTGTCTCGCGCTCCTCGTCGTAGCCACCAGAGCGAACCTCACGAAGACGATCAAGCTGAAATCACGTGTGATTGAAACGAGAGAGAACTAGATGCAATATATTTACTTCTTGTTTTACTTCATTTCATTTGAAATATTCACTTCTTTCAACACTTGTAACCTTGCTCATAACACATTCTTTATATAGTAATAACTACTATTTCTGGGTTGGGGTTTGGGAATCAAAGTTGTAGTCTAGCAACCCAACTCAACCCAGCAATATTATCATGATAATAGAAGGAGATGAGGCAGTAGTGTGATACGTGAAAATGTTTTAGACGCGCCTGGTCAGCGGTCAAGTCCTCTCCAAATCCCCCTCAGGTCTATCAGGGAGCACGAAAACAATGACGTGTGTATCGCAATTCACTCAAGCTTGAAGGTTCAAGGTCTGTGCACGTTTCTATTCACTTCTACTACTCTTTTTTCATTGACATGGTCATAAGAAAGGAAAACGAGGAAGGTACAAAACTACCAATTTCGTAACGCTTAGAAAAGCTCTGTTGAACTCAAGTAATTTAACCGTACGGTGAACCATTTCGTTTACAATTGTGTAATGATCTGATCCATAGAGTAAACGTAAACAAGTTGGGAAGAAGTCGCGCAAGGGCGAGAAAAGGGATGTCTTGGGTTGGACGCTCAACCGCATCACAACGTCCGACGTGGTATACAACCAGGGAGGTCTTCCAGGAAATGCCAGCTTTCTCGAAACGGTTTTTTGCATGATATAGAGGTACGTGCATGGAACACAGAACTGTGGTTCATTTTTCCTGAGCGACCCTCTGAATACCAAAAAAGGAGCGAAGAAAAATTTCTTAAGGAACTGCCGTTCTTAACTTTCTTCACCAGTTTTTAGCCAAAGTCTACGTATAAAGGTTGCTGATGGTCCTAATTATAGATATGACATAAGTTGTTTACGCTGACGCTATTTTTCGCGAATTTTGAAACGCCAACACAAAATGCAAAAAATTGTCACTGCGAGGATTCGAACCACGGACCACTTCATCACCCTTTTTTGGTATTCAGAGGGCCGCTCAGGAAAAATGAACTACAGTTCTGTGTTCCATGCATGTACCCCTATATCATGCAAAAAAACCGTTTTGAGAAAGCTTGGCACTTCCTGAAAGACCTTCCTCGTAAGTGGGGCGTGCAACCGCAACCTTGTCGTCGATGTGTTAAGGAACTCAAAGATGGCAATGGCTTAGGGGGCCGTCGAAAAGTAATGCACAGTTGTTGACCACACGGGTAGGCTTGTGAAGATAAACGCCAAAGCAAGGCTCCTCGAAGGACGGGCTCTTTGAAGGTGAATCATCGAGTGCGAAGATGACGAAAATGTAAACTGCTTAAGCATCCTCGGATGGAATACCACATAACCCATCATCATGTTTGAGAAAGGTAGGTGAATAGGGAAATTTTCGATAAAAAGCACACGATTCGCACCTGATATGAGCTGATTGGCACAGCTGAGCGGAACACAAGCCACTGAACTGTCTCGCGGAAAGGCTCTACCGTCTCCGATCCTTCGTACATCCAAAACTCCTTAGTCTTCTCTGAAAAATACCAACCGAAACTTCTATGTGTAATTACCATGAATTCTTGACTACTTGTTCTCTGATCTTCTTGATAGTATCTGGGCAAGAAGCATTCAATCAAACAACATGGGCAGTTTGGCACTGGTAATATTTTTTCTGATTTGTCTGCTGAGTTATTCATCTTACATTTAGTATACACGTGTGATCGAAAGCACATTCCTTGTTGAAGTCAGATGAATTAATCCCTTCCATAATACATTCTGATACTTTATCCCTGATTCTTCTTGATACTATCCGGGACAAGACTTCATCATCAGCCGCCTATAGCACTGATTTTTTCCTAACCAGGATAATAGTGCTCGAACACGGTCATTATACAGAATATTTTGTCATCATTTTGGTAATACTTTCCCAGGGCAGGGCATGCAAGCTATGATAGGGGACGCAAAAGAGGAAAGGTCATTAGTAGCCACACCTCTGGGATTAATTTAATACACGTCTAATTTCTCACTTCCTGTGTACTGGGACGGCCCAGATTCTTGGCCCGGCAATGATTGCGGACACTACGGCGGGTGTCACTTTCTTCAAGATTTTCCTTTTCTCAAAGTCAATTAATCAAAAATATAACCACCAGCATAATTGCTGATATGCATCCATTTGCTAGGAAACGAATGGACGCATTCCTCCCGGAACGACTGAATGGGATGAATTCGGAGAGGTCGATTTGGGATGGCTGAATTCACCGAGCTTCTCCTCCCGTAGCTGCAGCTTCAGTGCGCTGAGGGGTGACAGTACGATGGAGCAATGTCAGTGCTGTACGTCAGATGTGGTATCGTGGTTCATAGAGTTTCCCTCAGAACATGCCGAGCTATCTTTGCAATTTGAGCCCGATCTTTCATTTGGAGGTAGGAGATTTTGAGACGATTCGGACGCTCTCGCCTCATGTTGTATCGTGAAGGAATTTTGACTCATCTGCACTGGTGATCAACTAGGGAATATCTGTCTATACGGTCGCAGGATGAAATTTCTGCACGTCATCACGTGCGCTTCTCGGTCTTGGTCAGTTTGCATGCTGTTTCTATCGAGAGTTCTTTCTGCTACACCCATTCCATTCAGGTGGCCATTCATGGTGCGTACAGATGTTTGCTACACTTTTCCTGCTAATAGCGTCCGGATGCACTTCCTATTCGTTGCGCAAGGGTCCTCGAAGTGACTGGAGGTCCATGATGAGGTCGAACTTTGCAGCTCCTATCGTCTTTGCCGATGCTATTGAGCCAATAGCTCAGTGCCCGATCAGTAGCAAAGACTGGGGCAAACGTAGCGCTGATCTTGCCTACCGCGCTCCTTGCAAGGTTCTTCTTGAAATTGTCGTAAGGCATAATTGTTGGGTTTGGTCGTTGATCTATTTCAATTCCTACTAATTATCCGTTGCGCATTTGAGCTTCTGAAACATCTTGGCTGAAGGTCTTCTTCAACATATTAACTTATTTCATTATGAAGCTAATTTGACCCGAAGAAATTTGAGTTGGAACACAAATTGACCAAAAATTGTGGGTCAACCCAATAGTTCCCGCAGGGCTGAGAATAACCAGATATCGCTTGGTGGCACCTTAATCTTTGGTTGTACGTTGAGCAGCGGTCAACGTGAGGTTTGTCTGGAGGTTTTGGAGGAGTTGTTGTGAATCTTCTTCTTCCTCTCTAGCGTTAGTACCGCGCAGTGGCAAGGTCCGCTGGAAGGGAGTTATTGTAAATGTGGGAAGGAAAATAGTGTTTGGAACTTTCAGAGGAATTTGTGCTGATAAACGTTGAGGGGCTGTTTCATTCAGTGTAGAGGATCGCTTTTTGTGATTTGACATTTCTCTGGGGAAATTGTTCTGACAAAAAGGCACAAAACGGGCGGAATTTATCATTTCCGTTTCTTTGTGCATCTTTCGCCTTTATCCCCACGCAGCTTCCTCGTCACTGTCTCCCCTCACGGCATTGCAATTTTGAGGGAGATTGGAGGGTGAGTTGTGGTGTTTCAACTAGTCTCAGAATCCAATACTGCTGTAGTAATAGCTATGGGGGGGGGGGGGGATGGAGGGGAGTGAGAGAAGGGTCCATGTCGCGACTTCCTAAGTACTGCACAAGAAAAATCGCAAAAATTTCGAAATCGGCATAACGCAACGATTGACCGTGCCTCTAAACCAATCTTACCTGGAGATGGAAAAAGTGCGCCGAAGTTGAACTGTCCGACGCGGACCTCGTTGCCCTTGTAGGTGATATTCGGTAACAACTCAATAAACGGAGTAATTGCTGGATTTTCGTCGTGTGACTCCTAAAAAGCAACAATAAATGACGACGAAGTGCTGTTGTGAATGGGTAATATCTGTTCGCCAGCCTATTTGAAGAGTGGCCAGTTACAAAATGTTAACGTCCCATACATACTTTTCTTCAGTTCCCCTCCTCTTTTGGAAATCCAACACGCGAAAGCGCTGCAGAGAATCCGAAATTGATTTAATACCCTCAAGGTGACATCGCTCAGCTGAAGGGGGTCCTCTTCAAACGTGGTCTCTTGGGAAAATTCGTTCGTGGCTGGGCCACTTCAACTTCGAGAAGCGCCAGGCCAATAAAATAAGTGGCTGCCCCAGGAGCTTACTAGCTAAAGCCAAGCTTTGCACGGACCTGGAGTACTAATATGGGATTTCTCATTCTCATTGCGTTCCATTAGTGGCCTACTCACATCCATCATAACTTACTGCTTGCCGAAAAGCCGCTGATAAAGGCCCCAAGTACTTTCAAGTATCAAATTCGACAACGAAAAAGAGACCTAGATCACTCATCATCAGATCACTAACAAGCTTATAAGGAAGGTCTTTCAGGGTGTGCCAAGCTTTTTCAAAACGGTCTTTTGCATGATATAGAGGCACATGCGGGAACCACAGAACCATGGTTAATTTTTCCTGAACGGCCCTCTGAACCAGAAAAGGGGTCCCTAGTCACACCTTTTTCACCAGTTTTTCAATCAAAGTCTATTTGTAAGGGTTACTGACGTTCCTAATCATGAATTTGGTACTAATTATTCATGCTAACTCCATTTTGCGCGAATTTTGAAACGTCAACTCGAAATGCAAAAATTTGTCACCACGAGGAATCGAACTAGGGACCCCTTTTCTGGTATTCAGAGGGCCGTTCAGGAAAAATGAACCATGCTTCTGTGGTCCCCATATGTGCCCCAATGTCATGCAAGAAACCATTTTGAAAAAGCTTGGCACACCCTGAACGACCTCCCTTGTTAGTGAAATGGCTGTGAATGAGACAATGTTGCTATTGCGATGCTGGATTATGGACGAGAATTGCTTTAACCGGGATTAGGCTGCAAAACGTTACGGCCGATCTTAGCCAAAGGATTTTGCCCACAACTGACCATAAGATCCGCAGTTGTGGCAAAAGCAGCAGCTCTAAAAGTTATTCAAAAAATTGTAATATCGCCTATTTGAGTAGCCGAAATCATTTGCATGGCTAAATAGAGCATGAACGATTCCCTAGAATCTACTCCAGTCGAGCACCACTTGACCATCATAATTCGATTCAAAAATCCTTTCCGTCAAAGGATTCTCGTCAGTCAAAACTTCGTGCTTCCAACGAAAAACCTATTTTGTGCTCTATTCTGTCAGAACATGCCGTAATCGCGACAGCATGTCATATCGGAGGCAATTCTCATGACTGACATTGAGAAAGATGGCGATCGCGAGCACTCCGTTCGGCTGTTTCAGCGCCAACTCCATCGTCGGGAAGCGGGTATTGCGATGGATCAGATGCAGTTCGCCGGCGTATCCAACCCCTGAATGAAAATTCATCATTCCCTAACGTCACAACAGCACAACCAGAGACCCACCTCCTATGGTGTGTTCGGAGCCATTCATGGGCTCCGTTCCCCAGTGCCATGTGATTGAGTCCAGATGATACTGCTCCTCTGGCAGAAACGACACCGCCAACTCCGAATCATTGCCTTCACGTAGCAGCCAGACGGCGTTGCCAGAATTCGTTGCGCGAAAGTCGCCAGTATTGTGGTACTCGACCCTAAAATGATTTCATTCACTTGAAGTGGATACGAGCACCACTGAACCCTTATTTGTTTAACCATTAATTGAAAGTGTTTTTCGTTATCAATTGAGCAAGTTTTTAGAATGGTGGAGGAAAAGGGGAAGGGATTAAATGCTATGAGAGGGAAACTCGCAGTTCTTGAGCATATCAACGTTCCGCGATCCAAGAGCCGAATAAACCGAGTTGAGACGTTTTGCGGGAGTATGAATTGCTTGGACCCGAGTTTTCAAGAAGGATAACCTTAAAGGAAGCGATTACGATAAAGAGGGAGCGCATCGGGAAGCATATGCACCACACGAATCAGTTACTTGGCTGCCAGGGAAGCGAGGTGTGGCGCTTTCACGACGAAAGGTGCGCTGGTTGCTGAGCAGGACTTCGAAAGCACTCCGCCCCCAAAAGCGATCCGCCCACTAGTTTACTTGTTGATTTGGACGAGCTGCGTGACCAGCAGCGGCGCAAATGGAGCATCTCGATTAAAGCGTGTTTGGCATGGTGCCATCAAACGCGTTGCGGTGAACTCGTTCATACGTCCACTTTCTGAGCTGTTACCTGTTCATGAGTGAAAACCAACGGCCAAAAAAGGGGGTCCCGTTTTGCGTTTTCTTGACGGATTTTTCTGCTTTTTTCGCTACTGGCGTACCATTGAGCACCACCACGTCACACTGAACCCCTTCTTGAATTTATCGTAATCGCTGCCTATGAGTGATACTATAGTACACCTTTACCTTACATCTTCCCCACCCAGTCCCGAGTTGGCTAACATTGTTAGACGACCCATCCAGGCAGGTGTCACTTTTGTATTCAATTTTTGGCTGTCCCATCAACAAAATCCAACTCACGCTTATAGTTACCTCGTTGGCATCCGCTCTGACTCTCGTTTCCGAGATGCGCTACGCATTCGATTTCCGTTCGGAATCCGACGATAATTGCATGCGTAACCGGCCAACACAAAAAAAAACTGCGGGAGCAGCACGCATCAAGTCCAAGTTTTTGCTCTTTCACCGGAGCAGTTCTGTACTACGCGAACAATTTCAGAGTGATCATGGAGGCATATGAAGGCATACAGTGGTGCCGCCAAGTGCCATTTAATTACTTTTTTCTACCAGTTTGATCAGCGAAAATGTGCTGTCATTGAAGTCTGAATTTTCTCAATTACTGTGCATATGACTGACCAAGCTGGTGTGTTTGGATTCACGAGTGCTGCTCACGTCCCTCTAGTGATGGAAATTGACTTGTGCCGGTCTCAACCCTTCTTGCCTAAATGGGATCGTAAATTCAAGGAGCGAAGGTTCATCGGGTTCATCTAATTGCACAGTTTTTTCGAAAACCCGCCCATCCTCACTCTTTCCGTCGATAGCTACCGATTGACGAGAGAGGCTTTTCCGTGGCTACGACAAAATAGGAAACCTTGTACATGTACAAAGCACACTCAAATTAAAAAAGGTAATTCAGAAAAACAGCAGATAACGCAAGAATTAGCCGCTGTCAGGAGCACTCAAAAAAATAAGCCCTGTTTTATTGCGACCCGTACACACTAAAAATTGAACCGCCAGGGGAACGTTTCAGTTTGATCGATTAGTGTTTATTCAGCATTTTAGTGTTTGTCGATTGCTGAATACCGATATTCGAATGCTGTGTTCATTCAACCAGTAACCTTGAACGGCGATTTGCAGATGTTCTCCGAAGCAGGTGATGACCGGCACGATATCAATAGGTGAAGGGTAGCGACCCAAACCGGACACGTGCAGTACTTTGCCAAGTGAGTCGAGTTTTACCTAAAACAAATTAAACAGGAACCCAAGACAAAAATAGCCGATCTCCTGTAAAATTTACCCTATTGAGAAGTCCGTTTTTGGCATTCAACGCACTTTCGATCAACTTTGGGGCACCGTCCTAAATTTCGGACATAATTGATCGAATCCACAAATCAATACCCATGCAACAATCTCACTTTTAGTGACTGCAGATGTGCTCCGATGGCGGGCGCTCCTTCAGCCATCGTGGCTGTTTTTTCTTTCAATGTCTGAAGATGACCTGAGAGTTGGCTGAGAAACGCCATCTGGAATATGGATTTTGTCATGCTTCCTTGGATCTCGAATTAGAACGCTCAATGCGTGCAACACTTCGGGCGAATTAGACGGAAGGAAAGCGAGTAGTGTGTCAAAAGAGTAAGCGATTCTTATTAGAAGACCAGAATAATACGTACATAGGGCGAGGAAACAATAAAATTGCCTCACAACCTATTTACGCCTATAAAGTGCCAGTAGGTTACACAGCAAGATTATGGGTTAGGAAGTGATGGAGAAAACGCAACTGAGGAAATAGAATTTTATTTCCATTCTCAAAGTGATTAATACGATCGCTGAAGCTTGAAATCTGGCCAGCGAATATTGCTATTCGATGCAGTAATTATTGGTATAGCACTTGGATTGGTCCCAAAACTGCGCCCATAGACGAATTTTTCACGGCAGCTCGCAGTGAAAAGGGATTTCGCGGCATTCATAGGCGAGCGAGATCCGATTCCCGTCTTTTGGCCACCGATGATGTCATCGTAGCAAAAACAACCCACGAATTCGCAGTTTACTTTACTCTGCTGCCGATTCTTTCAAGAAACACGTTCTTTGTGGGCCAAATAGCGGTGCCAATCTTCCATCTATGAAACCAATACCCAGGCGATTACTTGAAAACGCAGTAGGACCCTTTTCTAACGAAGCCGATCGAAAGCGCTTTTTAGGGTGGTTTGCTATTGATTTCTAGCGAGGAGTGAAATTTCAGCAAATATTTAACGAGCTGGTGTCCATTTACTCATCGTTACTCAATACTCAGAATGCTCCTCAACACACTCCCGTTAGGCATTAGTTTTTGAGGCTTTATTCCAGAATGAGCTGAGAATTTGGCCGAGGCACGAGTCTATGAATAGTAGCTCCATTCCCCTAGTAGGATACACGGGCAAGCGTAAAACACAAAGAGTTGAAGAAACGGCTAACACAAGCAAAGGAACACAAAGAGCGACCATTACCACGGCAGCTAGCCTTCCAGTTATTGCCAAGTCCATGTTCAAGGGGCGAGTATGACGGCAGCGCATCCACGAAATTTGGGCAGACTAGGTCTCGTCAAATTCGAAACGATAACGCTCTCGGCTCAATCGTCGACCACGAATGCGCCGCGCCTTCAATTTCCATGGAGAGCTTATCAACGCTTGGGAAGTTATTTGGCCTGAACAGTATCCACCGATTTCGACGCCATGTTATGCAATTGGAAAGCAAGTAGAGGGAACCTTGTAAAGATGGGAGGTTGTGACTACTACCATCTGCGAGTCGATCAAAAACCAGATTAAATCTGGCTCCAGCTAGTGTCTCTCTTTGAAGGCGAAGTTTACGATTAGAAGGAGCTCATTAGAGTTTGAGGTGGTCACAGATGGCGGAATGAAGAAAAGAAATGGGACCTTTTCCTTGCCCGTTGATTTTCGCATTGATGCGACTCTCATATTTGCTGCCCTCTTCAACGCTAACGCTCTCTCTGCTAAACGGCTAATACTCACGGCGAGTGGTTAGCCAGTCAGTGGGCGTGCCGCGACGATAGCGGCGCTGAGATGCCGTGCTGGGTCGCCGGGGCATATCCTTCGCGAATTGCTTGTCGGTCCGCACTTTGTCGGTTCGCCTCTCTTTCCACTAGGTAAACTTCCCCTTATTCGACCATCAACCTTGCCGTAAAATCCCCTTCAGGAAAGTGCATAACTCCAACCTTGCCAGCTCACAAGATCACAACGGTCAAGACCGGAACTTTATCTACCGTCAAACTAAGCAGCACTTCCTTTGGTTTCTACCCCACTCTAGAAGTTATCTAGAGGTAAGGTCTGGGATTAAACGAATGCGGTACCACGCTTGCAGAGATGTGAAGCGTAACGTCAGTACTAAAAAAACAGGATGATGGCGCCGACACGGGTAAATACACAATCCCTTAGTAGCGATGAAGCGAAAAGCATTGATTTGTAGGTGTGGTCAATGCTGCATCTTACAATTAGGGCCTCACGCTTCGCTCCTGTCAGATCATCCCCACAATTGTGTACGTGCTCCTCCTTGCGTACTGCATTTCTCTGAGGAAAGCTTAAGTTCGACCAAAAAGTCAGGACCTTGTCTTCAGCTGCAAAATAATATGAATAACTAATTCGTAACATGTATAACAGTAAAATGCATTATTCCATGGTTCTGCTGAACCATTAGTCTTATCATGGAAATTTGCCAATTTTGAGATTTGATGGATGTTTATTGGAAATCAATACTAGTATCAGAGCGGAAGTAATGTAGCTGCAGGTGGTGTAGCGGCAAGTGGTGTTGCTTGCCATGTGCACGGTGCGCGGACTAAACCTGGGTCGCGCGACATCGAGAGCAACCAGCTTTCCATTCTCTGGAAGCAAATAATTGGTATCAGACTTGTTTGGGAACATCAAAAAGGTGACTTGCACATAGGCTGGCCGTTTATTGTATAGGCCAAATCGCATTCTCTTAATAATGATAGCGTATAAGAATCAAGCAAAAAATAGGTAATAAAAAGGAATTGGAATAAATAGATTACAGATCAACCAAACATCCCATGTCAATCGCAACCAGCGTTTACATTTACAACTCCATGTGCAACTGTCGCCCTAACATTTTTTCAAACCAGGCTAGTTAAAATGGATAGTTGGATACACACGACCAGTCTCGAAAGGGAAGTATTATATAACTCGAATAACGATCCAGCTTCTTTTAATTAAGATGAATGTGTGGTAGTAAACAAATGTAAGGCGAGCAACATATGTAAATGCGAAGAAAAGTGCCCTTCATTTGACTAGCAACACAGGAACTTTGAGAGTGAGGGAGATGAATAGCAAAAATGCAAAATTCGTTGGAATCCGCGATGAAAGCTCTCAGCACCCGTCTCTGCTCAGACTGCACAGTTACGAGAATGCGAGGTAAAAATTCAGAAAAAAATCAATGGTCGTAATGACTGAGCAATTACTCGGACTTCGCTCGACGTGTGTGAATAGCGTCTTTTATCAGAGGACATGGCTGAATAAAGCAGTGAACCTCGTCTAAGCGAAATTACCACTGGAGGTTATTTCACAAAGCAAAAACCTGGTGCTTGTGCCCAACGAACCACTGGAAATGAACGAATAGCCGTTAATCTGGTTGCTATGGGAACGCCTCTACGCAGTAAAACCCGAACGGATGAATTGCACACTCAGAGTACTTGAAAGCACTCTGATTATTCTTTGCAAAGCACCATTTAACGCCACGTTTCACGAGCTGAGCTAGAGCTCTTAATTCGCCGTGCTCTGATAGACAGGTAGCAATTTCCGTACAGGCACTCTTAGAAACGTGTTTAAAGGCGGTGTTTGGATAAGGGATGAAATTCGGGACGAGAAAAATAAAAGGTCACAACTCATTGATAGAAACTTACAGCTAAAAACCCTTCGCAAGCAAGGGTAAGCAACTCATGACGATAGCTTTGGCAGCGTTGCAAATGAAAGCATGCGATATTATCAAGGCACAACCCAGGCAGCCAGAATGTCAGCCACCGGTGCTGAACAAGACGCTCTCGCGCTGTGGGACAGATGGTATTCACTTGGTGGGCTGCAGGCTTGATATGGAAATTTGGAAGAAGTTTCTGTCCATGAAAAAGGAAAATCGTTCATACCCCTCGGCGTCATCTATGCCAGCGCGCTGGTGCAGCAGGAAATATGCCGCATTCACGTCGATTTTTATTGACAGAGGAAAGAAATCTTCTGACGCTGCTGGCGTATTGCCGCATTCCCCGCGCTGCGCGGTCGGCGTTTCAGGTCCGTCTGTAAGGTATGAGGTTAACCTTCTATAAGGTAAAGATCACAAATGTACGTTCTCGCTGCAGTGAAAGACGACCGAGTAAGACGCTTGGGCTGTGCCCGAAGATAAGCTGCCCAAGTACAGACTTTTTTCTCTTATCAGAGCTGTTGTCTGGCGATCTCTCATCTGTAGCGCTCTCTCGCCCCATACTCTCCTCTCCGCGCTTAGTCTCTCATTCCCTTAGCACAGCCGATTAGGAAGGTGAGTGAGCCCTTAACCTGAGCGTTTTTGACGGATTCTTTTCCTTTTTTCTTTACTGCCGGCCCACTTCCCACCAATACATTCGCATTCGTGTACAGCAAGAGCCACACCAATGTGAATGGTTGATCCCACTGGGGCATGCCTTTAAACACCGGTGCCATATTAGCCGTATGAAGTGCAAAGTAACGCCGAGTGGATATCTCGCGATGGAAATAGGTAAAGCTGTTTTAGGTAAAACTAACACATCATAGGTGAATGGTTGAGACAGTGCGTTCACCTGGAATCCGGGACGATCACGTATGCTGGATGGATGGAATTGGTCGAGTCTCTCGAGATTGATGGACACAATCGCGAAGAAGAACGCATACAAGCGCAATGAAAGCAGCGCGTATCTCCTCCACGACACGAGAAAGGAAATACAGGTCACTGCAGGAAGTTCCAGTGAAGATTCCACGTCTTCCTCTTCATCTTCTCCCTAGCGTTAGTCCCGCGCGTCGTGGATTACCTGCCTTAGGACATCGGCAGGGTCCGCTGTCTTTGTCAGTCGTCGCCACTTTGTTCTGTCCAGGGCATCTTCTGCTGTGGCCATGACTTCACTTAGGTCCTTCTTGATCACGTCTCTCCACCTCTTCTTTGGGGCTCCTCGCGGTCGCTTGCCTTGCGCTTCGAAGTCCATCGCTGTTCTTATCGGATGATCCTGTGGCCTCCTTAGCACATGCCCATACCATCGCAGACGCTGTTCCCTCACCTTCAGCTGGACAGGGGCAGTCTGCATGACCGCTCTGACATCCTCGTTTGACCCTGTCCAGTCGCGTCCAGCCGCAGGCCCATCTCAGCATCCTCATTCAGCGGAGTGAAGCTGCCTTTCGTGATTCTTGTTCAGGGGCCAGCACTCGCTGCCGTATAGCATCGCAGGCCTCACTACCGTCTACGCTTGGCTCTGTTCCCTCTTCAGAACTCAGGAACTTGGTCTTCTTGACATTCAGCCGGAGCC